ATGGGACCTTCATCTGGGGCTCAGAGAGACTGCAGGCAGTCCCCACAGTATGACTTTTCTCAGTCCATCAAAAGAAGTGATTTAAAATGTACTCTGTAATTAAATTATTATAACTAGCAGCAATTTCCTCCTGTTTGCAATTTAGTTCATATTAAATTTATCTCCATCGTTTTTGTCTGTATAAACTTGGGAATCTGTTTTTTAATTGACTAATTTCGATTGAGAGATGAGATTCTTCTGGGAGTAGATATCTGAAGGCTCCAAACTTCTCATTGTGAATCACCAGATCAGCCCAGGGCCAGGGTAGAGAGGGGAAGGAAGTCATTCCTTCCTGCTTGGTTTATCAAAGCATCTTGGCATTATTATTCAGGCTAAACACTGCTTGAAATTCTTGTGAATGTTAATTTTATATTCAGAGATACAGAGAAGCTACAAGTGAGAAGGATACAACACTGCAGCACTTTTCCAGTCAGGTAATTCAGTGGTTTGCAGTGAGCTGGTTTGGTTTTTTTTTTGAAGCCTGACCTGACCCAAAGCCCATAGAAGTCAGCAGTAAGACTCCCGAGAGACTTTGGCTTTAAGTCAAGGAATTAACTTCTATATGTCTTAGTGCCGTAGGATATTATTGAACTAAAGAGCTTATTAAGATTAAAAATGGGATTAGGCATTACCATGAATGAATGCAAAGAGGTTACATGGCTGAGATAAAGCTGCAAAGCTTCATTCTGCCTTTCAGGAAAAGACCCCGGAGTGGAGCCATGGAAAAGAAAATTACTTATCATAGCATTACATACAATGAGGTGCATTTTTTATCTTCCTAAACTGAGAACTCTGGCACTAAAGGTAGGATGTGGAATTGAAACCTCACAGCTTTACTTCAAGCAGTGATTCTTGCTGATTGGTGCAATGAAAATGTCTCATTCATCTCGGTGTTTCTTCTTTTGAGCCTTGGATTTTTATTTTTTTTTTTCCAGTGAACTTTTCTCCCTTAGCCGCTAAGATATCAGCGAAGGATCTCAGCACCGCAAGGAAGAAGTGGGCAGACATCAGAGGAAAGAGGGGAAGGGAGGGAGATGTAGAGAGGGAGCAGTGAGCACAGTGCCAGCAGCTGATGTACGGGGGCAAGGCTGCATGCCTTGGCTTGATGAAACCTTGCCAAGGGCAGCTGCTTGCTGCAGGCCGAGGGCTCACTTGGGGCTAGCACTGGTGTGCATCTGAGCCAACAGCAGCATTCGTTTTTTTTCTTTTGGAGGAGGCTCCGTTGAAATAATAAATCCTGACAGCGGGGAGTGGGGCTGAGAGCTTACCTCAAGCATTTCTCTTTGATCATATTTATGTCTTTCCATTTCTTTACTGGTCTATTTATGTCTTGTTATCAGAAGCTTACAGATGGCTGCTAAACAGAGCTACCTATGTATTTAATTTTGAAACTGTAATGACAAAATACATTTGGTCAAAGTGTGTGGCTAGAAAAGTGGCTGAAGAATGGCTGGAGAATTACCTACAAAAGGGACTCGGGGTGCTGAACATGAACCAGCAGTGACCCCAGGTGACCAGGAAGGCCAATACAGCCTGGCCTGTATCAGAAACAATGAGGATTGCAGGTCTGGGGAAGTGAGTGTCTGCTTGTACACATCACATATGAGACTTCATCTCAAGTATTGTTTTGGGTTTGGGGCCCCTCACTACAAGGACACTGTGTTGGTCAGGTGGGTGCAGAGAAGAGCAATAAAGCTGGTGAAGGGAATGGAAAACAAGACTTACGATGACCTGTGGTGCTGTTTAGTCTGGAGAAGAGAAGGCAAGGGGAAATGTCATGGTTCTCTACAAGCACCTGAAAGGAGGTATAGCAAGGAGAATGCCAGTCTCCTTTCTTGGGTGACAAGTGGATGCAAGGAAATGGTCTCAACTCGTACCAGAGGAAGTCTAAATTTGATGTTAGGAAAAAATTCTTCACAGAGGCGGTGGTCAAAGGTTGAAATGGGATGTTCAGGGAAATGGTGGAGTCCCCATCTATGGAGGTATTGAAGAGATATATGGACATAGCACTGAGAGATATGGTCTGGTAATGGAACTTAGTAGGTTAATGGTTGGATTTGATCTTACAGGTCTCTTCCAATCTAGATGGTTCTATAATTCTATTTCACATGAAAAAGCAAACTTATTCACTTTACACAACACTACTATACTGCATGCAAGAAAGCTGCAATGATGATGGCCAGAGAGACTGCCCTGTCTCCTGCCAGAGTTACATCTGATCCATACCAGATGTTCTCTGCAGGGGATTCTTGGATTCTTTCTACAGTCCCGCTGCAAATGTCCTAAGTAACAGAGCCTCCCCACTCCATAGGACAAGACACTAGCTTTCCCAAGGAAGGGATTTGTTAAGACTTGATAACATCTACTTAAAATTTTGCTGTCTTGTTATGGTCAGATAGACTTTTTCTTGTATCATCCAGGTGATATTTGTCTTCTTTTGTTATCTACCTCCAGGTGGGAAACAGAATTCCACTTGGCTATTTCAGCAACTGGATCAGATTCGCTGTTGCCTGTAGAGTCCTTACAACTGCATTTCCTCATCTTTCTATCTGTATGTTTCTTTCCTCTCCCTCCCCCTTCTATGTTTGCTTGAAATGCGTAAAAGTTTATTAGGTTCTGTCCTCAAAATGCCTGGATCTGAATGCAGCCTTCTGGATGGGGATGTAAGAGTGTTAAGTTTCTCTCAGATTTTTCATAATATAGCTCCTTGTGGTGCTATTTCTATATAAGCTGTCTTAGTCCAGAATTGCTTTGTTTCTGACTATGTTTGGTTCCAATTTCATTGCCCCTTGCTTTCCCCTTGCTCTTGTTTTGGGACTGGTGCTTACCTGATCTTCTGCCAGCTTAAGATGTGTGTTTGAATGGACTGCTCCCCAGTGCTTTCATCTGTGTGATCCCCATCCTGACTGTTTATGTGTGACCTGGCTGCATACTGGCTTTCCCAAGACTGTTTTCCTGCATCTCCACAGTCCCCCCCTTGCTATTGAAATTCAGTATTTGTTGGCTGAAATACTGTGCTGGCTTGGAGATTGGGCTTGATACTAACCCATTAGTTTCCAGTAATGCATTTACAAAGTGCTTACCCTGGAAAATTCCTTGATCTCAGTGAGGATTTCAGGTAAAAATGCAATCACCAAAGCCAAACCAAACACTATTGTTGTTTCTCATCTTGTTGGCTTGGTGTTATTTTTCTTCCTTTACTCTCAGACCTGCAGTCAGCCCCCTTGGTGCAGACAGATGCAAGCTTCCTATGCCTGTACCAACAGCTGCCTTGATGGTGAGGTGGCTGTCTGCTACAGGTTTCAGCTGACTGGTGTCCAACTTGTGAGATGAGCAGAAAGAGCTTGCATTCTCTTTGTGACTAGAGAAACTAATGTGGGGGTTTGTGAAAGCAATATTGTTTTGTGCCTTAGGTCACAGAGAAGCCTCTACATGCCTGAGGAACTGGCCCTGTCTCCCATCTGCCTACAACCTTACTGTGTCCCTCCACCCTCTGTAAACCTGCTTAGATCACAGTTACAAGAGATGCTTGCTAACAGCTCACAGTGGAGGCTGTGTTAACAGTTCTGGGATTTCCATCCTTTGCTCCTTCTGTTCAGTCTTCACCAGAGATAAAGGGAAATAGAACACAGGCTTTTGAGCTCGTCTTATTTCTTCTTACAGGTCTTCTAATAGCACAAGGCACCTGGCTGTGGTTGGCTGTTGTTGGAGCTGCTATGGAATGTCTCCACCTTGGTAACTATCACTCACACTCTTGAGGAAATCTTTCCTTCCTTGGGATATTTCTTGTGCTCACCACTGCCCAAATCCCTCAGGGTACCAGAATCTTTTTTTCATTTCTAAAGCCCACCTGGCTAGAGTCACATTCTTAACAAGATTCTCAGGAATGGAAGAGACCGTCAGAAAAATGACGAAGCAAGAATGCGTTTATGAATGCCTAAAGGCAGTAAGTCTTTGGAGTGAAAGCATTGATTTCACCCAGCAGGGTCAGCAAGGGCCAACAATCCCGCCATAGTTGTGCTAAACTCCAGAGAAAGAAATCACATGAAAATAGAGTGCTGGTTAAAGGTAGGAGCTGTGAAAAATCAGGTACTGGAGACCTGAAGGTAGAAGATACTCTTTACGTTATATTTTCTGCCTCCTAGAATCTCATTTGTGAAAAATGTCCCACACAACATCCAAGAATATTGTCAGAATACATTTTTTATCATCTTCCATACCATTGATCACTACCATAGGAAAATGCCATAGTGGTTTGATACTGAGATGATGATTTTCAAACGTTTGTTGGATGGGAATCTTGCAATGAACATCTCCAGATCTACTGTAAACTCCAACTCACACTGAATGTTTTTTCTTTACTGTGTTTCCTGAGATGGTTTAGATCATTTGTGGAAAGAAGCTCTGGAGATGGTACAAAAAAAATCAATGAGACCTACCAGCATATAGCAGCAGGAAGATAGCCCTCAGGAGCTGAAACTCCTATGGAACTGTAGAAGGTTCAGCAACAAGAAGCAAAGGGACACGTGTGTTGTAGCTTTCCTTTGTATTCATAGCAATAAGAAGGAACTATGTTATTGCTATGGAATTGCTATGGGTTGGAAGCACGCTGACACTCAGTTGCACAGTCCTGAAAGAAAAAAAAGCTGCCTAAAAGATTTCAGCCTTGAGGAAATGGTGCACACCACGCCTGGGAGAATGCACCAATCATCACTCAGGAACACTGCTTCTTAGATGATATCACAGTTAAGACTTTACTGCCTATTGTTTGGAGATAAATAGCTAGTTTTCTCTCATGAGGAGGGGTGACTGGCACTCAGAGCTTTCCTAAGAAAAGGATTTTAGAATGAAAAGCTGAATCATCTGCCTTTCTCAGGACATATTTTGTAAGTAAGTCAGACTAAATTTTTAGGATTTTAAAAATGTATTTTATTAATTTTTATTGCTTTTGACTTGTTTTTATAGTAAAAGAACAAAGGATAACATATTTCAATGTATATAGACTAAAGTCCTTCTAGAAACTATTTAAATATATTTGCTTTCTTGCACCACAGCCATCTCTTACTACTTGAGAAATTGCAGCTTCAGGAGTTACATCTTGTTAGAAAAAACTCTGAGTCTCAGACAAAACAACCGTGAGAATGTTTCAAAACTCCTAACTCTTTGAACTCCTTACAAATAAAGGAACAAATGTCATTCCTATTAATGCATATAAATTATTTTAAAAATAACTAACAAACTGTGGTGACTCAAAGCATCTTCTGGCAAAGCTCCTCAGCCAGGCATGGGACGGGGGTATGTGTGCGTTCCCATTGGAGGTGTGGTTCTGCTGGGAGCAGGGGTTATGGCAGTCCGATATGGAACTACATCAAGACCTTCCCCTTTGCTGAAACACTTCAGTCTCTAGGCTAAGGAGAGCTTTGCTTTTACCCCAGTGTTTTCTAACTGAGAATCTCATTATTTTTGTACTGCTTTCCCAAGGCCTGGGATGACAAGTGAGCAAAAGAACTAATTTGAAGGTTCTCCTCTTGGTGTACTCCTGCTTAAAAAAGGAAAAGCTCCATGGAAATAGAGGCAGCCAGTTTGCAGGATGCAAACCTGGATCCAATGGGTCTTTTCACAGACTGAGAACATGAAATAAGGATCACATTCTACAGGACAGTGAAATGGAAGGAAAAGCACAAGAGCACTGACATAGGAACATTCGCATTTAACCACAAAAGGAGAGGGCTAGCACATGCTCGAGGAAAAATAAAGTCAGTCTCCTGCTGTAAAAGCTAAATAAAATATCACTTACATTCAGAACACATACGGAAAGAAGAAAAGCCTTAAAAGATATGAAAGGTGTGAGAAATGAGGAGCAAGCAGAAAGCACACACTTGCCTCTGCCCATGGAAATAGCTGTGTGCAGCAATTAGCTAAATGATACATGACTCCAGTGCTGTGATTGCACTGCTGTTCTGAGCCACTCGCTGCTTTGCTGCTGCTGCTAGTGACAGGAGCACTGAATAATAAAAGCTCTACTCAGGGCTGCCAGTGAGAATTTCCTTCAGCTTCTGGTGCTGGAGCTATATTTTACATGAAAACTGCTGGCTTTTACTTCTGCCATGACAGCAGCTGGTAACTATAGCACAGCTGTGGATTTATAGCAATGCTTTATGTGTGGGGATTGATCTTCTAGGCAGGACTTGCTTTCCTCCTCACAGCCATTCCTTGCTGCTCATGAACATTCTCAGCACAGGAAAGACAAACCAGGGGGAGGCGGTTCGTATGCACTGAGGCTTGTGAAGCTGAAGGCAATGATAAAAAATGCCGTCTGCTCTTATGCATATCACGTAGCTACAACAGCGCCTGCTGCTTGCCTCTGACCAAAATGAAACTCCTTCCTTAGCGCAGGGCAGAAGGGAATGTGGGTGCCTTCCCTCGCTGCTCACCAGTGCTGAGACTGCCAGAGACCAGGAGACACAAATCGATAAGGTTAAGTGGATTTGCTCTGTGCTTGCCTGCAAACCCACATCCTAACCTCCCCCTGCCTCCCACCTGCTCTGCTCTTATCTCTCCCTGGGGAACATCCAGATGGGCTCTGGAGCTTGGAGCTGGCAGAGGTTGAGAAGAGCCTTCCTGCAGCTGAGTGCAGTGAGATAGACTTGCACATGCTAACTAATGCAATGCCATCTTCTGCTAGATGAGACGGAACTACCAACACTATCTGGTGGCAAATGGTAATGATTTTTTGTCTTTGTAACCAGCAGCGTGTCCTTGGAAACAAACTCCTCATGTAAATATGTATGGGTTTGGGGACAGTGCAAATGTCATGCAGGGGCCTGCTGCCTAAGGAAAGGACACACAATGTCATGTGGAGGGTTGTTTCTTTGGCATCACAGCCACTCGGGAGCAGAAAGGAATGAAAAGCAGGATTAATTCATTTAGCTTTTGATCTCAGACACACACATTTTCATTTAACAGGATTACAACAGCCGGAGTCTCGTGACCCATAGCTGGTGGGCAGAAAGAACGTTTCTAAGCCCTTTCCCCCTTTCTTGGTGAGGTGCATCTTAGCAGCAAGTTCTGATGGTGAATCCCTGGGGAAGGCTCTCCCACATAAAAGTAGCCCAATGTCTGAACTAGTTACTCTGATTTTGTTTCTACAGATGCACTCCTGGCAACTAATTGGTGTCCCAGATAACGTGGCAACATACCCATGGAAATCCTATATAGAAAGCTGTCAGAGAGGGAAGGAAGAAAAAAGAATGAGTTTGATATAATTAGGTCTGGGCATACATGCACACCCATGCACACACTATCTCAGCTAACCAGGAGAAAAGCTTAAATGAGACCTATTTTTTCCACACACGTGAAGATCTACAACAGTGGGAGAAGATAGGGTATGGTGCAGGGAGGCATTAAGACATTTTCAGTAGTTTCTTCACATGGAGCATGCAATCTGTTCAGGGTCCTGAATAACTTCTTTGCCAAATTAATTTGCAAAGGACGTTCTCATAACTAGCTCTTACAAAAACACCCTGCGCATGAGCAAGTGGCTATAAGGGCCAGAAATCAGTGTCAAAGGTGATGAAGACCATGCTGGCACCTGTGGAGTCACCAGGTGACACCAGTAGAGATGCTGGAGCCTTAGATGATCCCAAACTGGGCCAGCTCGTGCAGTTCCAGATGGCTGAAAGCTTCCCATGGGCAAATCACCGTGATATCTGCAAAAGAGAGAGAATGAGAAATGGGTTCTGGAGCAGCACTTCTTGGATTTCTATTGTACGAACAGAAAAGCTGATTTACTGAGAAAACATTAAAATGTGGGACAAGAAAGAAAAGTGAGACTCCATTTGAAAATTAAATGAATCAATGAGTTCTTTAAATGTGGTACTTCTACCAGTCTGAACCAGATCACTGTATTTTCTCCTGTGCCATCTTTCTCTGTGAACATGACTGTGGTTGCTTCAGTGGTGAGACTGAAGTGAAAATTCATTCCGGTTATGGGGTTTCTCCTGTTCTTATAAACTGCCTATAACCAAACTGTGGTATCCTTGAAGACGTGCAGTCTTAAATCAGATGCTGAATGATTTAGTGTAACATGTTCAGGACCTGTAACTCACTGATAGGTGCAGCTGTTATTTGACTAATTATAGGTCATTCAGTGTGTATTTTTCAGTCCAAAATACATAAGTACATAACATTCTTAAAATTAGGGTTTTGGTGATAGCACAAATACTTCCCTAGCTGAAGTTTAGTTACTGTGATTTCTGCTATTAATAGCTTAGCACTTGGCATTTATTTGAGAACCTCATGCTGCTGAAATTCTTAGTCAGAGTATTAGCAGAAAACAAAGACAAACAAACCCATTTGCAGCCAAGTGAAAGTATCCAAAAATTGAAGCATGACTAAACAGCCTTTCTGCCTTGTGTATGTAAGCATGAGCATGGCCATGGCAGCTTGCAGAGGGAGCACTGACCTCCTCCAGTGACCCTGAGAGCTGCAGAGAGGCCAGGCAGACGGAGGCCACCCCAGACAGACCTCTACTGTGCTGAAAAGTGACTGCATGTATGTTCAAGAGGGGCACAACAGCAACGTGCTACAGAGCCTACCTGTGCCCAGCCCCTCCATGCCTGGGATGTCATCTCCAAACCTAGGAGAGAAAAGAGCAGGTGAAGGGTGAGTTTGGGACAGCAATACCAAGGGGAGAAGCCCCACAGCCCCAGACAGGGAAGGGGGAGTGTGGGGAGCAGATGATGAGGAGCAGCTCCAGGCTCAGGTGGGCCAGCACCAGGACAAGAGAGCTGATGGCACTATGGGGCAGGAGAAGCCTCCTGGTTCCTTGCCTGGGGGAAGGTGGTACCACAGGAGCTCAGCAGTGAGGAGCAACCCAAAGAGAATAGTTCTTTTTCTTTCCAAAATACCCTTACCCTTTTACTCCTTTTTTAGGAGGCTTGCTCTTGAACTGCCTTGTCTGTCTCTGCTTGAACTTGGGAGGGCCCTTCCGTGGTGTGGTGGGACCAGTGGGAGCATCTCCAGTGGTAAGGTTGGTGGTGGGGTTCTCGCTCATCGTTTGGCTACTGTCAGAAGTATGCCTCACTCAGATCCCTCTATCTGCAAAAGAGTGGCAAGGACTGACACAACACTCTGCTTATCATATCTAGGTACCAATAGTCTTGTGACAGGTTAATTATGGGAAGTAGAATTGTGACAGAATTAAACATAAGGATACAAAACATAAAGAAAGACTGTTATGCATACAAAGCAAGCAGTTTAAGCATTACCTTTCATTGTGAATGCCAGAATTAAGATAACAAATTGTGGACATTCCTGATAGGAATGAAAAGTTAACTGAATCCCATAGTTCAGTGACCTGTGGAATTGTGGAGAATTACACCTTTTCTGTCTCAGACATGGCTGGATTATTGGAGACAGGTTTCTGCTGCAGTTTGCCCCATGGTTTGGGCAGGATAGGCAGGTTTAGCCCCTACTGTCTTCCAGTTTGCATTCACAAGAGTAGAGCTAGAGTTTTGACTTGCTAGTTCTAGATATGACTACTAGGACCCATAAAGGCATGCTTATGAACTTATGGCTTAGAGATTTATCTTGTTCTTTGGAATCATCATGATATACAACACTTGTTCTTGTATTTGTGCCTACGCATTGCCTTCCTCACACTGGTGAAGATGGGATGCTGAGCTAGATGGGCCTTTAGTCTGAGTGCAGCTGCACTTAGGGCTTCAAGTTTACCAGTGCCAATCTTATGAGAAATAGCACAGAATTTCTGAAAAATTGTGAAGGCCAATGCAAAGCATTGAAAACTGTGGTTTAGACAGACTTTAATTTCTGAGGATTGAGAAGATAAAAGCCTGTAACTTTCCACAGTATCTGTTGTCCATTTTGATGTTTTGAAGCATTGTATTACATTTACTGACCTCATTGTTGACATGACAAAATGCTGCACATGAGTCAAGTTCCACTTCTCAGGGGCTGTAGAATTGTTGGGCAGCAGTTCTGGTGTGGGAAAAACCTTTCCTGCCTGAGAGCTGCTGCACGGAAAGCCCAGGGAGGACAGCAGGAACTCTCTCCAGTGCCCAAGGGAGAACCCTCAGATTGATCAAATTCTGTGCTAATTACTGTGCTAGAGCAGTTTGACCGCATCCATTTATGGACAAAAATAATTGCCAGTTTTTTCTTTCCTCCCTGGAGTCACATTTTTCCCCATGACCATTATATAACTCCTGTCTCCAAGTTTCTGTCCCTGTGCAGCCAGGCTGATGGAATAGCTGATGGAATTAACTTCAGGATTTTGGTACTAAAAGGTAATCCTATTATGTCATAATGCTCTGGCCTAATCCCCAATATCACCTGCAGTGACACTCAAGACTTCTAATCTCAGAACTATAAATGCCATCAAAAATGAGTGTTCTTTTTTTTCTTAGCTTAGAGAATAGTCCTCATCTTTCTCAGTGCCTGAAATAGCCAGAGTGCTGAAAACAAAGCCTGAGACGGAAGGAGAAACAGCATCCAAACAATCCTTCTGTGTCAATGGCAGACCAGTGCAAGGTGAAGAGCCATGTATCTGTGGCAGTCTGGGAATACTTCTCCCTTGACATCCTTCCATCTGTGATAGCAGTAGAATGGATCCTCATGAAAACACCTAGAGGCATGCTAGTTCTCCTGTTGCTTGTGGCCAGGCTCTTGCCTCAGCTGTAACATCCCGTGCTGGAAAGGTTCCAGCAGCCCCAAATGGAGCAGCAGATGGTTGTGTCTGCAGCTGAAGGATGCACAGATGCTATTCCTTTGCCTGTAACACAACGCTTCCCAAGCACACACTGTGCCCACAAACACAAGGACCAGCTCAATTCAGAGAAGTTGCTGGTTTGGCTGTTCTCTGAAGAACCTGAGCAATTGCCCAGTATTTATGGCTCTATCCTCACAGCGTGGTGGCTGGACAGGCACTGCTGTCACCTTCATCTCTTGCAGAAAGGGACAGGAGGTGCAGTGATTGGAGCTTCTGTATCCTTGGCACCCCTTACAAGGGCTGCTCTCAAAAGTACAACCAAAGAAACAAACTGGCTAATAGATTTCCAACCCTTTGTCCTGACAGCCAAGATTTGTAAGAGGCAACTGAGCTCAGACTTAGTTCTCAACTCAAGTTGCCAACTGCTGTCTGACAGCATGGTACCTTACTCACAAAATGGTAATTGGAGGCAACTCCCCGTAGATCTTTGAGTCTGTACCTTCATTCCATTGAGAAAAATCAAACAGGAAGATACAGTCCTTGGAATTTACTTGGTCCCAGTCCAAAGTAGCTGGGTCCACATACCAGCTACTTTTATACCTGAGATTTGGGATAGAAAAGGATCTCCCGAAATCACACTTTGTCCTGTCTCTTACATGCATGAATTCAAGAAACAGCATTCAACGTAATGGAAAGGGACAATTCTGTCACCTTCCTTACTAGTATCCCTCTACCCATTCTTCCTACACATCACCAAAAGAAAGGGCAGAGGCAGAAAGCAGCTTAATGTCACAGAACAGCCTCCATCTGGCAGAAAGAATCTAGCTTCCCTCCCACTATGGAGCAGGCAGGACTTGCTTGCCATCACCCACAGGCAGAGGTGCCTTGGTTCATGCTGGAGCCCACCCTGTCCCAGTCTACACTCCTCGTTATCAGCTGCCCCTGCCTCGGGATGGCATATTCCCAGAGGTGTTTCCCAGCCTCCCTGTACCTGCTTACTTGGCTGGTCCCTGGCCCCACACGAGGAAGATAGTTGATCAATGCTGGGTGCAGATGAGTCTCCTCTGGCTCCTACAGGTGTTATGCAGCCCCAGGGCTTCCCAGGCTGTTGGAGCTCCTCAACTGCTGCCAGCACTGGGATGCAGCTGGTGGGTAAGAGCAGCTGTGGATGTGCAGGCAGCTGGGGAATAAGATGTTCTTCCACACACTTCCTCTGCCCCCTCCTCTGACAAGGAGTTACTAATTGCCCCTGACAGCATTTCTGTTCAGTTCAGGGCTTAATCCTTGGGGTAAGAGCCTTGCTTGCGTCCAACTGCTAATTATACCTAATGCGCATTAATGTGCTTATCTCAATTGCGTCAGATATCCCACCTCTGAGTTGCTGGCCAGGTTAATCATCCTTCTTTTAGTTCTCTTTGAACCTAAAGAGGCTTGAATACTACTGTCAAGTGCTGACTCTTTAATCTGCCTCCTCCTGCCCCTTAATCTCTGATTTGCTATGGAAAATTTCCCTGGCAGATAATGCAGATGCCTCACTTGACTTTCTTCAGACAGATTCAGCACAGAGTCTCTTCTTTCTTTATCAGATAACTTCAGGTATGGAATCCACCACATGCCTGGTGTCTTCACGGTGCTGCAAGGATGTCAGACACAGAGCTCTCCATGCAGTGATGCACTGGGAACACACAGGATCCAGGAGGAAATACCCTCAAATTTTCAATCCTTTGGATAATTATTTCTTGACCTCATGAGAGCCACAGGCATTTTCCTTGCAGACAGGCTTTCATCGGGGCATACTGAATCCAGTATAAGATGCCTGTGGGGAGTCTTGGAGGCAGTCTCAGTCTCTTGAGTTGGCTAATCATAGACATAGAAACAGTACATGCAGGTCCAGCCCTTTCTGATCCAGTGCTCTAGATGAGATCTCACAACTCTTCTTAAAGTTTTAAGACCACAAACAAATGAAAGATGCACTCCAGAAGACAGGAAAACACATCAAGTCGAACTGTATTCCCACAGCAGCTTCCCAGATGGCGATTACTGGAAAAACTATCTCAGTTAGGGGGGTGACATCAAGGAGGGATTCATTCACATGGGAGATGCAGTGCTGCTTAGTACAAGCTTCTCACTGATGTGTCCTATGCCCTGACCATCCCTGGGAACCCCAGGGTGAGCCCTCAGCCAGGCACTGCCAACAAACCCCTACCGAGGACTGCCCAGCCCCAAAAATAGGGTGGTCCTGGGAGACGGTGGAGCCTGGGATACACCAGTGCTGCAGTATGTGCCTTGATGCCCGGCACCCAGCCCTAATGGTAGAAGGAAACAGCAACAACTGTGCAGAAACACAACTATCTCTCTCAGCTACTGGGTGCGCTCACGTTTTTCGAGCATGAAAATCCAAGCTCTTCCCCCACTAGGAAAAGACAGCAGCTTCTCTTGCACATACCCCTTCCCTCCCCCCTCACCCCCTTATTGCATGGAGCTCCTTGAAAATACTCACGGTCCTAAAGGCTCCTCTTGCAAACCATTCAACTGTCCTGCAGCCTGGGTAGAGAAAAGTCTCGAGGCGTCCTGCCTCCCACAGATATACCCTGCCAGCAGGTGACATCAGGGCACCAGGCGCCAATCAGGGACAGGCCCACGTGGGGCAGTGCGTGGCCTCGGTGCTTTGCAGGTATGGAAAGGAAAGAGTTGGGGCTTCAGCCTTAATTCCAGCCCAGTGAAACTCCACTGGCAATAATACGCGTTTTTCTGTGGGGGCTTCATACCTTCAGTGCATTTCTGTTGCCCATTGTGGCTGCCTGGGAGAGCTGTGCAAGAGATTTGGGAACAATGAGAGGTATCTGCAGATAAGAAGAACCTGGGTCCTATTGGAAAGTGCTAGAAGATCATTTTCATCCTCAGCTGCAGCAGCACTGTGTGGCTTTAGCCTAACCTCAGGGCAAAGTTGCAGTGCTCTGGGTGTACTGGCTCTGGTGAAGGTCTGCTCACACAACCTCACTGTGCACCCAGCTAAACTAAAAGAGGGGAGATTTAGGTTAGATTTTAGGGGGAAATTCTTTACTCTTTACTGTGACAGCGAGGCACTGGCAAGGCTGCCCAGAGAGGCTGTGGATGCCCCATCTCTGGAGGTTCAAGGGCAGATTGCACGGGGCCCTGGGCAGCCTGAGATGGGGGGTGGCAGCCCTGCCCACAGTACAGGGTGGAGCTGGGTGGGCTTTGAGATCCCTTCCAACCCAAACTATTCTGTGATTCTGTGTCAAGGACAGGAGCTGCCTAGCATGAGGGGCCCTGCTGGAAGGGTCTGGCACAGCATCGGTCTGCTGTTGAACCAGAGCCCACAGACAAGGCCACTGGCCTTCCA